AACAACCAATTGGATAAATTCTTTTGAATCATATGAAATTTTGTATGTACAAGATATTCGCAGTCTAGGTTCAATTTATTTTACAACACTATCAAAATTCTGTAATCTATCACTAGAAACAATTAATAATGCGTTATTCAGTTTTAATTCAACTAAATATGTGACAAGAAATGTTCAACAACTTGATCTTTTTCAATCTCAAACAGAAAAAATTATCGGTGATCTAAAAAAATCTACTATCAACTCGTTTCTGCAATTATTATCGATATATAAATATACTTTCATCGGTAATGCACTTTTTTCAGGATATTTATCCAGTTATGGCTATACTACTGTCACTGACAATTCATCAAATTCATTAAACCAAGTTTTCTTTCCCTATCTTTATAGTCCTGATGAAAATGATAGTAGTATCTTTTGTTCCTGTAAAACATCTCCATTGACATGCGGTCAATCCACAGTTATTTATGAAACATCAGGAAATAATTTGTTTATTGTACCTGGTGTTCGCGTCGGTTGTTTTCTAACAGAATCGCTATTGCAATCGACATTGGAGTGTTTCTTTGATGAACGGTGTTTAGATAAAGTACAGAATTTTACAGTCTCGACTTCGAAATTTCCATTCACTACAACAGCTTTGAAATACAATTCGACAAACACACAATACAACACAAATACCAGCATTGGAGATATTGTGGATAACTTAATGATTGAACAATGGAATAATAAAACATCTTTTATATCTTATTTTGAGCAGTGTAATTCACAATCATGTACATATAGTTACACAAGACAAGGTGATCTTCGTTATATACTCACAACAATTATTGGATTGATTGCTGGATTGATAACTATATTACGAATTCTTATACCACCACTTGTTTCTTTTGTTAGACGAAAAAAGAAACCACTTACATCGCCCATTAATAGTAAGTGAGAAACATGATCTTCCTTTTTTTGCTAAGTTATGTCTTTTTTTATTGAAGGACCACAACACGTGTCATATACTCGTATTCAAAAAATGTTGATTTCATTGAAGACTATTATTTTGACGTTGAATTTATTCAAAAATATAAATAAACGATCCAATAACCAACTGTATCGTCAACGCATTGCAACACGTATTTACCTTATTCTCTCAATCCTTTCGTTTACTATTCTTATACTATTCATTTCTCTCGAAAATAACACACATACTATAATAGTTGAGCATCCGACCATTGATCAGTACAATGCACTTCTTCGGCAATACTCAGATTCCTTATATTGTTCTTGTACAACAATATCAGTTGAATATCAAGATATCATCTCATTTCAACCTCGTTTTCATACAATATGCTCAAGCGTTTTTATTAATCCTAATTCAGTATGGTTATCAATTGATTATCCAGCTTCAATGTTCGATGAATATGATTATCCTACATTTCGTACTAAACCTGATGATTTTCGAAATATGGCAAGTCCATTCTTTCAGTTTATCAGTTCATCTTGTCAATTATCACTACAAGCAATCGCCACTCAATTACTCGCATTTTATTCGACAACATTGATTACTCCAAAGTTGATTAGTGCGGAACAATTTCAAATTCAAATTAATCAGCTTGTTTCAGGATTTACTCAAAATACTGCCCAAGTATTTCTCAGTTCATTATTACTAGTCAATAATATGACACGAGCTAATATGTTAATATCAGCACTGTCGAGCGATTCAATATTAACTCTTTATCCAGATTATTATTATAGGGTTTATTACGATTACGAATATGTTTATGATAATACAGATCAAGTATATAATGCAACATTGTCTGGAACTAAATGTGATTGTCAGTATTCATCTTGGTGTAAACAACAAGCGATAGTCTATGACATAGATGCAATAACATACTCTTTTGTTATACCAGGTAAGTACAATTTTATGGACCAATATATATACATATGGGAAATATTTTTATGTCTTATCAGGCATATTCGTTGGTTGTTACGTCGTTGAGACTGTATTACAAAGTGATCTACAATGTTTCTATAATTTTGACTGTCTACAAGAATTAAGTGATAAGTTAATGATAAATATAAATGAATCTGATGTTCTTTCATTAAACTCATCACATTATCAAATGAATACGTCAATGTTAGAGATTATTTCAAACTTAATGGTTGAAGAATGGAATAATCGAACATCCTACAGCATATATTTTAATCGATGTCAACCAAAAAGCTGTACAGCAACTTATATTGGTCGTGGTGATATTGCGTATATTGTCACAACAATGATTACTCTCATCGGTGGCCTAACACAACTATACAAATTTCTGGTACCAATAATTGTCAGCGTATTTATGAAGATAATCATTCCATTTATTACACAGAAATTCAATCAAAATAATATTATTCCAGTAATAGAAACTATTCCTTCTACAAGCATTCCCATTTAATTTTCTCATTGTAAGCTTGTCGTCTTTTTTCCTCTGAATTACAAATATCATGCATTTTTTGTATTAAAATTGGTATTGTGCAAAATAACTTTGTTCTGTCGTTTTCGTATCAGTAAGATATATTATTCTTCTATGTTCATTTTCTTATCTCGCGATTCTACGAGAACTATGCTTAAAAATCGTATTGCTTTTCATGTTTATTTATACACGCTTTTATCAACAATTTTCGTAGAATGAAATGTATTTGAAGAGTTTGTTTGCATTTACCCGATTCAAAATATAATAAAAAAATGAATTCCAAAAATCTGACAAAAAATAAAAGAATTCGATCTGTTCGAAAACTCAGACTGTAGCGTTTTTGAAAATCGTATAACTAGAATGAATCAAGTTAGAGATTTTTTATTTGTCTAAAAACAGCGTATCCAGAAAGAGGGTGGGTGTGGGTTCGGGTGTGGATGTAGGTACTGTACTCACCTCGCTCATACACCCACACCCAATTATATAGAGGGTGTGGGCGTGGATGTGGGTCGATGTGAGTGTGCGGGTGTCCCTTGTTGATTTCAAGGAAACACTCACCATCTTGAGGGTGTGGGTGTGGGTGTCGATGTGGGTGTGAGTGTCGCTGTGGCTGTGGCCGTGTGTTTTGCCATGTTATCTACACCCACACCCTCAAGATGGCGGTTCGAGTTCGGTTCGTTTTCGGGCTCTGGAGGGTGAGTTTCTGTTGGTGTTTTATATTTGGTGTATTTCTTTTTCACTGAAAAAGTGATTCGCTTAACTGTTTTTCGCTGAATAGATACCGTATCGTGCAAAGGGACTCGTATTCACTAGGATTACAAATATAATAGTATCAAATTTCAATCAGTGAAAAGATTCACTTTTTGCATTCGTTGACTTTCAAGTAGCACGGCTTAAAGTATCACCTGTGCTTAGTAGATAAAAACCAGCACGCACAATGGACTTTCAAATAGTATTTCAACGTATGTATGAGCGACACATCTACTGACTGTTTTATTTATGTTTTATCCGCTGAGGAAGAGTTATTTTGTGAATGAGAGTGTGGGTGTCGGTGGCAGTCATATTCTAGAATGGTCCACACCCTCACCCAGTAAATATATTATATATTTTAGATAAAAACAACTATGCGCTACCCATATGCTCTTTATCTGTGCACCTTCATAGCAATAGTAAATAGTGCATCAGCAGCACAAATATTGAAATCACAAAACTTTGGTTCAGGTCAACCAAATCAAGTTCCTTTTAGTATCGATTTCACAAACACTAAAAATGCAAAACTTCAATCAATAAGTGTTTATTATGATATATATGTTCATGGTTTGGAATTCACATATACAGATAATACTGTAAATTCTGTTGGATACAAATTAGGAACTAAAAGCACAGTTAGCTTAGTAAACAAAGAGATAATAATTTTTAGAGTAAAATCCGGTGCTTGGATCGATGCAATACAATTTTGTTTTTCAGCAACTGATTGTACACAACATTTTGGTAGTACCGGAGGTGGTGAAATCGTTGAATTCAATTTAAATAATTTAATAAATCAGAATTATAAAATTGTTGCATTGACTGGAGCATATATTGAGAAATATACTGCAGATTGGACTGTTAATACTTTAAATATATTAAGTGTGTCGTACCAGTTGATCGATTCAACACCAAACTATTGCACAATTTCGTTGACAAATATGAAAGACAATGAAATATTCAGTCATAAAACTGTAATATTCAATGGCGAGATCATTGCTAATGATCGACAGAACACAATACGTAACATCCATGTGAATAATGCAAATTCAGTCAATTATGCAAATAAAATTGATACTCAATGGCCTGTCAACATCTTTAATCAATTCAAAGGTTTAATAAAGCTTGAAAGGGGAACTAACAAAATCACCATCACTTACGATGTACTACATTTTTATATTTTTCTTTTTAGTATATTCATTATTAGTTTTTTTTTCAAGGAAACTTTAAACCAAGGAGCGAAATGTAGTTTGACAATAAATTTAGTCTACGAAGAGGACTTGACAGTTGAACCTGTACATTTGGTTATGGTTGTTGCAAAGGACAGTAAATTAGTTTATGATGCTGAACCAGGTGAAGTAAATAATTTAGAATCAGCTAAATGGAAGTATCGAACAATGGCATGGCTTTGGCAATCGTTTACAGATGATCAAATTTATAAGAGAAATAGTAATTCTGGTCATCGCTGTTTTAGATTGGACGAAACTGAACTTATAAATGGAGAATATTGTAAGCAATCTAATCGTTCCTATTCAGAAATGGTTGTAGAATATAAATTTATTTTCTTTTAGATCCAAAAATCCATGTATTACAAACCGATATGACTACAGCACAAATTCAAGCCAAGGAATCAGATTTATTTAGCATGTGTAAACAAGTTATTCTAAACAATCCAACAAAGTTTATTAAGCCACAAAATTTACCATTACAGTTTACATGCTTGTTCCTTGATTCACATTACATACCAGATGAAGAAAGAATTGCTGGTCACGCTGCTTTAGGCTCGGGTTGGAATAGTGATTATAATTGGGGTATATTTGGATCACACTTGCTTTACTCTCATCCGCAAAATTTAACAGAAATGAAGAATAAATTCAATAATATACGTCCCGTCAATAAAAAATATACTTCAAACGACGGAGGTGATTATAGAGCAAGAGTATGCAATGTAGGAATTGGAGCATTTTTACACGAACTTGGTCATTCATTTGGTTTACGTAAGCAGAATAATTTTACTTTTATTTATTACATAAGATTAACATAACCTTTGTTAGATCACAATTATGGTGTTATGCTCAGAGGATTTGACGATTTTAATCGTGCCTTTTATTCAGTTGAACTGTCGACAAGTAAAATAATCGTTTTTTTAAATATTTTTCTCGGTTAATTGATTTACTATCATTGTAGATAATGTATGGACCTCGGTTATAACAAATGTTAATGATCAATATGCAAGTTGGAGTAAAGTAGATGCAGAAATAATGTTACCACATCATTTATTTCGATTAAAAAATGATCCAATCATTGATATGGTGGATAAAAATATACAATTATTTACAACATCTTTAGATAGTTTTCTTCTTTATGCAAATGTAGGTATTAGGATGCTTGCATTTTATAGCAACGATGACGGAAAATATCCACAATATTTGACGTATGAACCAGCATTAAAAACGATTGATGTTGACATGAGTACAAGCATAGAGTTAATGAACTACAAGATCAATAACAAGGAAATAAATTTGCTAGTAATTCTCAAAAATGGTAGAATGGTAGAATTCGGAAAAATATTTAGTGAAGTAAATAATGGAATTATTACAGATGATGTATTTAAAACAAAAAGATTCGGCCCAGTCTATGAGAATCAAGTTGAATTTAGTGTTGATTTCACCGTAAATAATAACGCCAGACTTCTAACAATAGGTGTTTATTATGATAATTACGTTCATGGTTTGGAGTTTACCTATACAGACAATACTGTTCGCTTTTTTGGATATAAAATTGGAAATAAAGGTTCATTCAGTTTAGTCAATAA